AGGGGGACAGCCTGGACCCGCCTCCAGCGCCCTCTGCTCACAGGGCCATGATGATGACGGCCTGCGACCTGTCTGCCATCACCAAGCCCTGGGAGGTCCAGAGCAAGGTGAGCCATCACCTGGGGCGCCACCTCCCTCCTGGGGGGTTGGCCTGCAGGAGGTATGCTCACGCGTGTGGGGTTCCCCGGTCCGGGTGGAGACCGCAGACACAAAGCCTCCGTCAGGTCCTTGGGGCGCTCTCTGACCCAGCGCTGAACCCCACTGAACCCCACCGGGTGAGCGACTGCCTTTTCTGTGCTCCCAGGTTGCGCTGCTGGTGGCAGCGGAGTTCTGGGAACAAGGAGACTTGGAAAGGACGATTCTGGATCAGCAGCCCATTGTGAGTGTTGCTTCCAGAACCTCCGCCCGGGGCGTGGTCCTGGCTCAGTGCAGACAGGGGACCCCGGTTCTGAAGTCCTGGGCTCTCACTCTGGGTCATGTGACGAGATGGGGTGTGGGTGCCGGTGGCTCGGGATCCGGGGAAGCTGTGAGGTTGAATCTGGTGGAACCAGGCAGCGGATCGTGGCCAGAGGCTCCACGAGCCGAGGCAGCTCCGCAGTGAACACGGCTGGGCCCTCAGAGGCCCAGGAAGTCCCGGGTGGGACAGTCGTGGCCCCAGGGAGGGTGCCGAGCCAGGGAGCCAGGTGCTGGAGCCAGGGCCCACACACGGCACATGGCGGTGCGGGGCCTGCGGGTCACAGTGTGGTCCTGACTATTCTGCAAGGGAACCAGGGGCCAGGACAGCGTGGTAGGTCCAACACGTGAGAGGCGGGGAGAGGGTTTGCTCACAAGCCAACCCACTTGGTGAATAGCGGTCTGAACACAGGCCTGAGGAGGAGCCGGGCAGTACAGGCGCAGGAGAGGCGCCCTGACCACCAGTAACGTCTCTGGGACACTTGGCCGGTTTGTCCGTTCAGGCCAGGCTGCTAGTGCCCTGCCTGGCTCACTCTCCCCACGCCGGCTCCAGACCATGGGTAACTGTGAAGCAGGGACTGACAGGAGGCAGCTTGGCGGGTCCGGAGGGTGTGGACAACGAGGACAGCAGCCTAAGCTTACCAGGGGCTCGCGCCAGGGGTTCTGGGGTCCCGGGTTGGCACCGTGGACAGCTCCTGGGGAGCTGGAGGGGCCGCTCTCAGGGAGCCCGGGGTCCTGGTTCAGCACCCTGGACAGCGCGGTGGTGGGCCTGGTTCGGCACCATGACAGCGCGGTGGTGGGGCTGGTTCGGCACCACGACAGCTCCCTGGACTGGGGCCGCTCTCAGGGAGCCCGGGGTCCTGGTTCAGCACCGTGGAGAGCTCCGCGGGGAAGATGGAGGGGGCCGCTCCGGGGGCGCAGCGTCTGGGGCCCTAGGAGACCTGGGGCAGGCCAGCACTATGACGTTGACACGGATGCCCTGGAGCCAGGGCCCGATGGCTCCAAGGCGCGTGGGGCATCCTGGCCTTGCCCTGCCAGGGCCCAGAGTCTCAGGCAGGCTGGGCCAGGCCAGGGCTCCACCTTCCTCTGCGCATCTCCATGGTCATGTTCATCCGAGTGGGTGGGGCTGAGTGAGTCCTGGTGCTTGGGATGTGCCGGACCCACCTGGCCCTGGCCCTGCCCCTGGCCCTGCCCCTGCCCCTGCCCCTGGCCCTCACTGTGCCCTGCTTCCCCCAAAGCCAATGATGGACCGGAACAAGGCGGCTGAGCTCCCCAAACTGCAGGTTGGCTTCATCGACTTCGTGTGCACCTTCGTGTACAAGGTGAGCGCAGGCAGCACGGGGCCCACGGGCCCAAGAGGAAGGGCCGTGGAGTCATCGGCCACCCAGGGCCACCCTGGCCCACCCTGCTCACATCTGCAGTAAAACCCGACATCTTCAGTGTCACCCCAAGTTGAGTCCCTCCCCCTCCCTCGCACAGTCCGCGCCTCGTTCCCACCGGCTTTCTCCCGTTCAATGTCCTCACAGGCACCTCGAGGCCTCACCTCCAGTGTCCCTCCCCCAGCCCCCCGGGCACTCCCCGCGCCGGCATGGTTCTCGGGGTGACGGCAGGTGCATCTGTGGTGTCTGTGAGCCCGAGGACAGGGTGGCCCCATGGAGCTGGGTGTGCTTTGCCCAGAAACACGTGCTGCACAATTGACAAGTGACAGCAGGTCATAGCTCAGGGGACTGGCCAGGGACTGAGGGGCATCTGACTGCACAGCCTCCTGTGATGCCCAGCATGGCCAGGGCCGCCACCCTGCCACTGGGGCAGCAGGGCAGACCCCACACTCCAAGGAGGATGTTGCCTGGTTCTGAGTGAAGTCACCCCTGACTGGATCGTCCCACCCCATCTTGGCCCCCAGGACACCACACTTCCCTCCACTGCAACTCCAACCCCATTTCCTGCCTCCACAGCGGACGTGTAGGGGGAGGCGGGACCAGGATGTGCACTGCAGTCCTGACCTCACAGGTCACAGCTCAACACGCATCCCCTCCCCACGGCACCCACATGCCCACAGCATGTGTGTTCACATGCCTGTGTGCTGTGCATGCATTTTTTATGTGTGTGCATTGTGTATGATGTTGTGTGCATTGTGTGTGATGTGTGCATTGTGCATGGTGTGTGCACTGTGTGGTGTGTGTGTGCATTGTGTGTGGTGTGTGTGCATTGTGTGTAGTGTGTGCACTGTGTGATGTGCTTGCATTATGTATGATGTGTGTGCATTGTGTGTGGTGCATGCACTGTATGTAGTATGCACTGTGTGTGGTGTGTGCACTGTGTGTTGCCCCTGGCCCTGCTGTGGTGTGTGCATTGTGTGTGGTGTGTGCATTGTGCGTGGTGTGTGCGCTGTGTGTGGTGTGTGCGCATTGTGTGTAGTGTGTGCACTGTGTGATGTGCTTGCATTGTGTATGATGTGTGTGCATTGTGTGTAGTGTGTGCATTGTGTGTGATGTGCTTGCATTGTGTGTGGTGTGTGTGCACTGTGTGTGGTGTGTGCGCATCATGTGGTGTGTGCATTGTGTGTGGGGTGTGCACATTGTGTGTGGGGTGTGTGCATGTGTGTGTGGTGTGTGTGCACTGTGTGTGGTGTGTGTGCCCTGTGTGTGGTGAATGCATTGTGTGTGGTGTGTGCACTGTGTGTGGGAGTGTGCACTGTGTGTGGTGTGTGTGCACTGTGTGTGGTGTGTGCACTGTGGGGGGGTGCATTGTGTGTGGTGTGTGTGCACTGTGTGGTGTGTGCATTGTATGTGGTGTGTGCACTGTGGGGGTGCATTGTGTGTGGTGTGTGTGCACTGTGTGTGGTGCATGCACTGTATGTAGTATGCACTGTGTGTGGTGTGTGCATTGTGTGTGGTGTGTGTGCACCGTGTGTGGTGTGTGCTCTCTGTGTGGTGTGTGTGCATTGTGTGTAGTGTGTGCACTGTGTGATATGCTTGCATTGTGTATGATGTGTGCATTGTGTGTAGTGTGTGATTGTGTATGGTGTGTGTGCATTGTGTGTAGTGTGTGCATTGTGTGATGTGCTTGCATTGTGTATGGTGTGTGTGCATTGTGTGCGGTGTGTGTGCACTGTGTGTGGTGTGTGCGCATCGTGTGGTGTGTGCATTGTGTGTGGGGTGTGCACATTGTGTGGGGGGGGGGGTGTGTGCACTGTGTGTGTTGTGTGTGCACTGTGTGTGTGGTGTGTGCACTGTGTGTGGTGTGTGCACAGTGTGTGGTGTGTGCACTGTGTGTGGTGTGTGTGCACTATGTGTGTGGTGTGTGCACTGTGTGTGGTGTGTGTGCACCGTGGGGGGTGTGCACTATGTGTGGTGTGTGTATGAGACATGGGAGAAGGGGCCCCAAGACACACATATCTGTGAGTCCCCACCCCCTCTGCAGTTGACACTTTCGGCTCTATTCTTGGGGTCCTGGCCCGCTATGATGGCGTGTGTTACAAGCATTCACGCCCACAGCTCCCAAACGCAAACGCCCAGCCCTCCTCCCTGTTCAGGGCTTTGCTGGGAAGTGACATCTCGGTGGCCGTTCCTCCTCCCACCCGGCCAGCCTCAGGGCTGTCCTCAGAGGGAACCGAGGCAGAGGCAGGGTCGTGACCTGTCCCTCCACCCGCCCGGGGAGGTCGCGACGTCTGGGTTCCCTTCCAGGAGTTCTCCCGCTTCCACGAGGAGATCCTGCCCATGCTGGAGCGCCTGCAGAACAACAGGCAGGAGTGGAAGGCGCTGGCGGAGGAGCACGAGGCGCGGGTGCGGGCCCTGGAGGAGGAGCAGCAGCAGGAGGAGAGGACCGCGGCCAGGAAAGGTCTGGCCCTGGGGTGCCGGGCGGGCACCGGGTAGCCAGTCAGAGCAAGTGAAGAGGCAGAACAAGGAAGTGAGTTGAGCGGAACAGCAGGTGTCCCCGGGCCCCTCACTGCAGAGGCGGCCACGGGGGAGGCCCGTCCACCGGGAGGCCCGACCACGTCCACGGGTGGGCCCCGCCGACTCAGGAACTCACCAGCCTGGACAAAAGGGTTCCCTTCTCCTGGCCCAGCGGGGCCCCTCGTCTCCTCCCAGGAAGGATCATGGGTGTTACTTCCTTCACGAAGGGGAAAGCCCACTGAACTATCACCAGCTCTGAATGGATCTTCCCTGCAAAGAACAGTCCCCTCCAGAGTAACTCGGAAACCCACCTGTTTTTCCACGCTCACACACTCACATGCACACACACACACATGCACACACACACTCATGCTCACACACGCACATGCACGCCCACACATGCTCACACTCACATGCACACACACACACGCACGCCCACACATGCTCGCACTCACATGCTCACACATGCACACGCATGTCCACACATGCTCACACACACGCACGCACTCACATGCTCACACGCGCGCACACCCACACATGCTCACACACACGCGCCCGTGCCCACACATGCTCACACGCACACACACGCTCTCACACACACGCACACCCACACATGCTCACACACGCGCGCGCACACATGCTCACGCGCGCACACACGCTCACACGTGCACGTACACATGTGTGCCCACGCATGCTCACACGCACACATGCACACACGGAAGGAAGAGCTAGGAGCCGTGTGCACGACTCCCTGGGCTGTGTCCAGCACAGTCGTTGGCCTGTTCGCCCTGAACTGTGGGAAGGTGGCTGCCCTGGAGCGGCTCAGCCAGCCCGCTGGACTCTGGGGCCGCGTGGCCTTGTGCCCACCTGTGCTCGGCCACGCGGCTCCGGGACTTGTGTGCCACTCCCTGCGGTTCCCTGCTATGGGCTGTGGGAGGCCAGGGCGGGGATAACAAAGGTGGGCCCCAGAAATCTGCTTAGCTGACCACAAATGCTCCTCCCCCCCCACAGGCCGCAGAGGACATGCAGGCCGATGGGAGGGGCCCGGCTGGGGCGTGCGTGGCCCTCCCTCAGCTTCCCGCCTTCTCTCGCAGGGGGCACAGAAATTTGCAATGGTGGCCCAGCACCCAAGTCCTCGACCTGCTGCCTCCTGTGAGCCACTCAGGGCACCGAGGGCTCCCACATCCCCACGCCCACGTGGACTCTGCCTCTAACCACTTGGCACAAGACGTTAGGAAGCCTGAGACGATTTTGGATACTTTGAATTTTTTTTAAGGTTTGTGTTTTTATCGACTGTAGTCAACTACAAATAACTGCAGCCCGCCCTGCACTGACACTCACCGCCTTTGACAGTCCCTCGGAGCCCTGCGTCTACACCAGGGTCGGAAGCCTGGGGAGAAGGCTGCGCCTGTGTTTTTATGGACACAGAGGTGCTGTTTCCCAGCTGGCTTAGGAAACGGTATCTGACCAGAAATGTAGAATAAATGAAAACAAGTTGCCCCTTTTCTTCTGTGGAGGGAATTACGGCAGAGGGCGCACTGTATATGACCCATTGGAAAAATTCCGGCAGGGAGGGGAGGCCGGGAGTCCAGCGCGATCAGCCCTGAGTGGGCAGTGCAGAAAGAACCCAGAATAAAGGCCCTGTGTGTCACTGCTGAGGGACGAGGTTGGGCAGGTCGGTCTCCGACGCCCGGGCTGCCCAGGCCCCTCCTCTGCAGCTGGGGGTCCGCTTACCGCAGCACCACACACCTCCGATGGTTCCACAACTGAGCCAGGAAGAAAGGCAGTCACCCCCAAACTGGGAAGCAAGGACACAGGTGAGAGGGGTGCTAATTATCTGGCAGAAATTAAGGACTTTTAACTCCTGATGTGAGCTCTCAGCATCTGTTCCCGACACTGGGTGTCACAACCCCCTGGGAAACGCCCTTCAGCTGGGTACAGGCCAGTTGCTACAATGCCAGTTCTGATGGCACCG